GGCATGCAAGGCATGCGCTCTACCACTGAGCCACCTTCCCAGCCCCATGAGTACATTTCTTATCAAGCATTGTTGCCTCCTCCTTTGTTTCCTCTTCCCATTAAAATGTATACTTAACTCTTTTATACTTAGGGATTTTAGCCTTTGCATTTTATTTCTACATAAAAGAAAACAGTTGACATTTTTATAAGATGTTTGACTATTTACTATGTGGGAAAAAAAAATTTTTTTAAGTTAGCCAAGGGGCTGGGAAGGTGGCTCAGTGGTAGAGTGTTTGCCTTGCATGCATGAAGCCCTGGGTTCCATTCCTCAGCACCACATAAGCTGAAAAGGCCAGGAGTAGTGCTGTGGCTCAAGTGGTAGAGCACTTGCTTGAGCTGAAGAACTGAGGGTGAGTGTCCAGGCCCAGAGTTCAGCCCCACGACCGACCGACACACACACACACACACACAAAGCCAAATTAAAAATTACATATCTAGATTGGGTAAGAATATGAAAAATATGCATATAAAGATTTAAATAAGATGCAGAACCCCCTATCTATCCAGAACCTAAATAAGGGGGCAGGAGCCAAAGGACGGAGTACTCACCTCAAAGTCAAAGTATAATCTCCCTGCATTTTTGTTGAGGCATCTCGAACCAAGAAGGTACCATCTGGCATGTCCCGTAATTTGTCATTTACCTCCTCCCTGAAAAACACAATTATAGGAAGCATGAAAAAGCTTAAGCATGGCTGTCTTCACATGTTACTGCTGAGTTAGAAGGTGGGTATGTATGTGATATAGTCATGGGGGCTCTCAGAGGTCATTTAGTTCCTCCCTCTAGATATACTCTTTCTGTTTTGATTTTGGGTGTTATGTAATCTATGGAAAGACTATTTGATTTTTAAACTCATCCAGTTTCCAAGTGACTGATGAAGATAATGTTTCTATTAAGCCTTTAAGGCTTTCTTAGGCAGGTCTGAACTTGCAGGAAAACGAGTTTCAGAAAACCCTCACAGGTGTTTTGAAAGAAGCTTATATTTAAGCAACAGTGGCAGCTGTTCCTAAACAGAACGAGGAAAACTCGCTTAAATTCACAACCTTCAATAGATATTCACTAATTTGAATTTATTCTTCAGAGCTTGTTTCACAATTTAATGGACAACACTATAACACTAAAAGGAAACGGCAGGACACAAAAGATCCTTGAACTGAGTACCAATGGCTCACAACTATAATCCTAGCTTCTCAGGAGGCTGAGATCTGAGGATCATGGTTTGAAGCCAGCCTGGGCAGGAAAGTTTATGAGACTCTTTAACCACTAAAAAATAAAGCAAAAAGTGGAGGTGTAACCTAAGTAGAGCACAAAAGTCTAGGGACAGTATCCAGATCCTGAGTTCAAGTCCCAGGACTGGCACATACACACACACACACACACACACACACACACAAAGCCTTGAATTACAGTAAGAACCACAAGATCTTAGAATATAAATTTAAATAGTGTTTAATTATAAAAGACCCTTTTATCAGACTACCAAAATAAAATATTCTAGTAATTTTTAATATAAAATATACTAAGACCTCTTCAGAAGTTAAATACAAAATAAACAAATGACCCAACAAATTTCACTTCTGCATATATATCCAAAATAATCTAAAGCAAGAGGCTGGGAATGTAGCTTAGTGGCACAGTGCTTAGTGGTACAGTGCTTGCCTAGCATGCATGAAGCCCTAAATTCAATTCTCAGTACCACATAAACAGAACAATCCAGAAGTAGCACTGTGGCTCACATGGTAGAGTGTTAGCATTGAGCAAAAGAGGCTCAGGGACAGTGCCCAGGCCTTGAGTTCAAGCCCCAGGACTGGCAATAATAATAATAATAACATCATCATCATCATCTAAAGCAAGACTTTTTTTTGCTAGTCCTGGGGCTTGAACTCTGGGCCTGAACGCTGTCCCTGAGCTCCTTCTGCTCAAGGCTAGCGCTCTACCACTAGCGTGGCACTACAGTGCCACTTCCAGCATTATCTGTGCTTATTTGGAGAGAAAAGTCTCACAGACTTCTGGGCTTGGGCTGACTTCGAACCACAATCCTCAGATCTCAGCCTCCTGAGTAGCTAGGATTATAAGCATGAACCACCAGCGCCCAGTAGACTCAGACATTTTTAAACAAGAGTTCATATTAGCATTATTCATAATAGCCAAAGCTACAAATAATCCAAACATTAATCAAGTCCACAAATCCAGATGACTAGATAAATAAAAATGTGATATATTCACAAAATGGGATATTATCCACTCTTATAAAAGAGTGAAGTCCTGACACATGCTATAATATGAATCATCCTTGAAGACTGAAATAAGTGAAATATTCCAGTCACAAATGCAAAAGTATTATAAGATTTCATTTATACAAAGTACCTAGAATAGTTGAATTCATAGAAACAGAAAGTAGAAGGGTAGTTGATAGGGGCTGAGGAAGGAGAGATGGGAGTTTTTGCTTTACTAGGTTAAAGCACATTAATTGATGGTAGCGATGGCTGCATAGCAGTGTGAATGTACTGTGCACATAAAATGGCTGAAATGATACAAGTTTAAAAAAAAAGTGAAATGAGCCAGGTGCTGGTGACTCACACCTGTAATCCTAGCTACTCAGGATGCTGAGATGTGAGGATCACAGTTCA